CAAGTCATCGGACTGATATACGTTTATTAATTCAATTGAATTATTCCTCCGTGATTGAACTGACGACGACTAAACCTTCTCTCTATTACTGCGTACGTAAACGATCACAAAAACTCGCGACTTCTCACTAACCGTATGTATGTAATTGTCGAGGCTACTCGCTCGATCATCGTCGGGACGATTCCTCGATCAGCTGCTCGCCAAAATTGACAGACTGGTCATGAATATTAATGAGTTGGTTAGAAAGTTGCTACCAAGCTACTGAAAAAAGTGATCAGCCTCGTTTTCACCTGATTTTGATTTTTCATCATATCATGTTTTATTTCCGTAATTGTCGTTACATCTAACGTTTTTAAATTTTTTTTGTATTTTTTCCGAACTCAAAAAAGGTTAAATAAGCAATATATGACGACTTATTTTAAACCCGCACTTGGCCTTTAACGTCCATTCTTGATATACGTTGGTTCAACGTTGTACACTTAGGTTGATTCGACATTGAGATTAGGTCAGTTGATTGAACAACCTAAATTCAACGTCTTTTCAACATCGATTCTGTTCGGCGATACAACGTCACAACGTCGCGTTGATTCAACGTTGAACAATTACGTTGAATCGACGTTGAAACCATGTCAGTCACTGAACAACCTAAATTAAACTCATATTCAACGTCGATTCTTGTCGTTGATACAACGTCGTGATATGACGTTGGTTCAACGTTGTAGACCTACACTTAGGTTGATTCGACGTTAAAATTAGGTCAGTCGATTCAACAACCAGAATTCAACGTCATTCAACGTCGATTCTGTTCGTCGATACAACGTTGAAATGTGGCGCTAATTCAACGTTGAACACTGACCTTGAATCGACGTTGAAACTATATTAGTCACTGAACAACCTAAATTCAACTCCTATTCAACGTCGATTCTCGTCGTTGATACAACGTCGTGATGTGAAGTTCGTTCCACGTATTACACTGATGTTGAATCAACGTTAAAAGTAGGTCAGTCGATTCAACAACCGGAATTGAACGTCTATTCAACGTCGACTCTCGATGAAGATGCAACGTTGCAATATGGCGGTAAATCGACGTTGAAACTATGTCAGTCAATGTTTAACCTAAATTCAACTCCTATTCAACGTTGATTTCCGTCGTTGATACACCGTCGTGATATGACGTTGTTTCAACGTTGTACACTGAGGTTGAATCGACGTTGAGATTAGGTCATGTGGATTAAACAACTTAAGAATTGTTGTTCATGAAAATCAAAGATTTGGTGGCAGACGTCAAAAAATGGATCATGGATTTCTCTCAAATTTCTACCATGAATAGTTACTTGGGTGAAAAGCATATCTATGATATTTGTTTAATTTTTAGCTTCTGTTGTAATGTCAACGAGCCATTTTCTAATTTATACAGTTTTTGTCAATTTTGAACATTTTTAGAAGTGAAAATACACTGACTTTCAGACCTTATTAAAAAAAAAAGAACATGCATTATATATATTTTTTGTGATCATCCATGTAGATTACTAGGTATTAACTTTCATTTATCAAAAAAAAGTGTGTAAAAATTCTGTTTGGAAGATACCTTTATTTACATAAGGGGTTTTTCTCAAAATATATATATTTTTTTAATTATGCCTCAGAAACCTATCTGTAACTTCCAAAGTGGTGCAAACATATCCACCATCTTCCATATTTTGATAGTCAAAAGTTGTCCAAACAATAATCAAGAAAACAAGTTGTGGGTAATCTACACACGTGGATGCGGTATTGCCAGAAAAAACGGCATTTTTGGAATACAAATATCATTTTTTACTAAATGGATAACACTAGAAATCAACGTAAATTTATTTCAAAATAATGTTACTATAGTTACATAAATAGTCTAACAACATGTTAAGAAATGTGTTGCCAGGCTCATTTCAAGTTAGCTAAAACTTAATTTTGTACTGTATTGCCAGAAAACAGCATTGTTTTTATTGAAAATTAAGGTAGATATGCATCTTTTTACTGAACAATAACGCTATAAAATATAATATAATTTATTAACGAAAACAAATATAGTTACCTGACTAGTTAAACAACATGCTGAGGAAGGTGATGTAAGGTTTATCAATATACGATATTGTTGCCAGAAAAAGCAGCACTATTTCAATAAAAAAATATTGTAAATATACATTTTTTACTATTTACGGAAAACGCTATAATATAAAATATAATTCATTTAATTATAATATTACTATATACATAACTATTATAACAACATGTGTTGCCAGGTTTAATTTAAGTATGTTCAACTCAATATTATACTGTAATACATGTAAATCAAACAACTTAATTTAACTTTCTGAAAACCAAACAAATTCAAACACCACTCTGACAAAATCAATCCATGATAAATTCGCTTTCAACGACGAGTTATGATTTTCAACTTAGGAAGACTCAATTTAATTGTTAAATTCACCATGAAAAGTTAATTTTGACATATACAATTGGATGTTAAAGTTCAACTGTTTAGTGGACAAGCATGCATGTGGAGGTTGTCTATTGTGATTCCTCTTCGGCAGATTAAAGAACATCTTCATCTGACTTGTCAACAGTTTAGTAGCCTACAGTGTACTACTGCGTCTTGACATTTTTCTAGAAAATAGCTTTACATCTTTTGCTCAGATTTCGGTTGGTTTAGATAACTAACTCACTCGTCGTCCCTAGCTATTTATTCTCTTGTCTTTCTCAACCTCTGACACTAACTGTTTAGAATTTCTTTTGAACATATTCTTTTTGTTGTTTCAAAAAATCATTTGTTTTTTCTTGTTTTCTTTAAATGTGAAGGTGCGTATTCAATAAGTGTTGAATGTCATTTCAGTAAATTTCTATCAGATTACTCTTCATATTCTTCATATCCACACCTATTTGTGACCCAAGACCACAAAAAGGCTGTAAACTCGCATCACCAGGTTTCGAGAAAAAGAGCCAAATAGACAGTATAACATGTAATTTGAGCAAAGTGTGATTATATCATAAATATAAAGTATTACCTTTAATCTTACTATTTTTTTTTTAGTTTGGGTTTAATATTTCAACTCTAAATCCTTAAATTTAGTAATTTTATAAAGCCCATTCTTTCAAACTTTCAAACCGCCATACTTCGCTTCCAAACAACTTATTCACCTAGATAAAATTTAGGCCCCCAACTAGATAAATGAAAACTATCGGATAATAATACGTTTATTAGTATTATCGTATGCTATGTTTGTGATTTCAGAATAAACAAACAGTATAGTTATAAAATAGTAGAATGGTCACAGAGTTAGTAAAGTTAAGTCTAAAACGTATTCATAAAGTCATTCAAAATCGTGTACAAAATAGTTGAACAAACTTTAAAGAATGTCCCGAAAGTATTTGTAGTGCTGTAGTAAAGCTTACGTAATTGTATACCTAAATCCGGGAACTGTGAAATTACAATTTCAATGTTCCCTGCCTAAATGAAGGAAATAACCTTGAATTAATTCAAAGTATACTAAACTATTTCATGACCTGTTGTAAAAG